TTGTATCTTGAGATATGCAAAGTGTTTTTTCAAAAAAAAAAAAGATATGCAAAGTGTCAGATGTATCTATATCCGTCATAAACATCCTATCGGTTATGTTATAATTTGCACATACACTCTCAAATGCTTGTTGCAAGATTGAGAGAGAGATATAAAAGCAATTGCCTGTCTCAATTTTTCAATTGTCGTGCAATATACATAAAGCCATGTTGTGTAATTAATGATAAATATGACAAACACAACGCACGTGAAAATGCATCACATCAAAATTACGGAGTTGGGTTGTAGCTCAAATAGATCCTTCATGGTTTTTTTTTTCGGACCATACATATGAAATGACGAAGAGTATGTCTACTAGTAAGTTAATTTGTACCTAAGTTAAAGTCATATTTATATGAATTCAATAAAGTGTACGCTTTTCTAATGTGGAGAGTTCTAACTCGACACCGACTATGAACATTCCCATGTTGTTTGTAGATTATAAACCCACTTTGCAAGAGTTGCTTCAGAAGGTGCTCTTGATTTGATCGAAATTGAAATTGAGCTTATATATTGTCGAGCAAGGGCATTTTTTGTAATGCTTTGATGTTGTTTATAAGCCCACAGTAATTGTGATATGCTTTTGTAACATGCTCCACCTTCTCATTTGTCTTCTTTTTCGTGAAATATTTCCAATATTCAAAAGTAGGCTTACAAACTTTTCCATTATTTTGGCTCTTTGTAAAGATCGCTTCTTCCAAAATCATCATTAGGCTCAATGACTGTCAAATTCGATAGTACCAACATTTTTCGGATTTGAAAACATTGTTGGCCAGAGAAAAATTGTAGGTAGGAGTATTGGAATCACTAAATAATTGGTTAGGCGGCTATGTATCTGAGTCGACGTAAGGGCCACCTAGATGAGCCTAAATTGATGGTACCCCTGCTTAATGTCAAAATCTTGATTTGCAAGCCGACAAGCTCTCGTGCAAACTACCTTGTTGGACTCATCACAAGCACAAAACGAGACGAATCGACTCAAATTAAAAGTTGAAAATTTTAAAAATTATATGGAAATGAAGTTTTATAAATAATTGAATTATACTATTTGTACATTCCTTGATAAATCTTTATTGACATTTTATGTATTGTCAAAATTTGTGCTATGAAAGTGTTATTAAAATCAAACACAAAAATGTTAGAAGTGTACCTATAGCAAAATAAATAATTTGAGATTACCTTAATGTACGGCACCGGCAAATATGTTTTTGGACACGAGTATCCAATCATTTGTAAGGGCTTAGAGTTTCTCTTTTCTCAGTCAACCTGTGGTCTGTGGAGGCTGCCGGTGTTCAAAATAAAAGAACCAAATCCTTCTAGTTTTCACACTCACAAATGACTTAGCGCCCCCATTAAATTTTAATTTATTTTTTTAATATCCTCTTATCAATTACACATTTTATTAATAATATAATATTATATATAAATCTAAAAATTCTCTTTACTTTTTAACCACACATACTTCAAAAAATACAATTCCAAAATTAATTTTTCCAAGTAATGAAGCTGGGTTAATTAAAAATATATAAATTACTAAGGAAAAAAAAAATTATGACTTAACGGTGGTGGACAGACGTACTGAGATGGAATTATCAATTATGGAAACCAAGCAAGATCCAGCTGTAAGAAATAGTACAATTTTGACAAGGTGAAAACTTTGGTGTACAGTCACGTCACTATGATATCATTCAAATATTAGTACATATTAATGATTCCATTCTTTCAATTTTATTTTTCTACGTACTTGTTTTCAATAACACATTCACAAAATAAAATATTTTACATATAAATCCAATTTTTTTTCATACTTTTTAATAATACATTCTACAAAAATTCGCTATTCAAAATAAATTTTTCAAAAAAAAAAAAAA